GCTGTGGGCAGCAGTTCTTGATGAAGGTTGCGGGAGAATGTTGTATTCCATCCTTGGAACTTGAACGGAAGCAGATATGGACCTGCTTGCATTCAAACCACCTTGTACTGTGACTCTGCCAGAACTTCCTTCCGACACCCTCCTAGCTTGCAGTCCCTGAAAACACCACTGCATCCTTCACATGAGAGAAATGCTGAGCCCTAGTTATCTTCTGGTACACCCTGCTTCTCTCCGTTTTCCCCGCCGTCCAGCTTTGTGGGATAATCTTCTCTTCCTATCCTTATGCAAAGTGCAGTCCTGCTGTCCCTGAGCTAGTCACACTTCAGTTGCAGACAAATAGTAGGTTTTGTAGTTTCTCCTTACTTCTGTGGGTGTTTGCAGGACAAAAGTAACTTGAGATTTTTAGAGTGTTTTGAGGTACTGTGACCCCAATCCATGTTGCGATTCCTGTGCCTTGTGGATGGCAGGTAGACCAAGTACTTCAGAAGCGTGGAGCCTGTTCATTTGTCTCTAGCTGGAGCAGAGGGAGAGAGTTTGGCCCTCAGTGTGGAGTGGGGGATGGAAGTCATGCTGGATTTTAATCTGCTGCGTGAAAGCGATTCTAATTTGAATTGTTGCTTTGTGTTGAAGTGTCTGAGTGATGGGCAAATATGTTACTGCATGGGTGTTATGGGATAACTTTAGGCAGAGGAGATGAGCATCTCTGTATCAGGGGAAAACCAGAAGCTTCTACTCTGTGGACTTGTCCTCCACAGCAGCTTTTCTCCTGTAACCACAGGAGAGGTCTAGGGAGTCTCGAGTCCTGTGTCCTAATGAGATGGAACGTGGGGTATCGTGCATCCAGAGGCCTGTTGCATGGCCTCTTGCCAGTGTCCTCCAAAAGAGAACATTAGGACTGGTGAACTGCCAGCTCTTAGTGCATATCTTTCTCTCTGGCTCCTTGAAAAATCAGGATATGATTTCAGGATGGTATAAATCAGCTGGTCACTTGGTATAATGGCAAAGTAAACCGGTAACAGGTGCCTGGGGATAACTCATATGCATACCACTTCTAGCTTTCCTCCTTCTCTGAAAGCCCTTTCCCTGCATGGTAGAGACATAACTTCAAGCAAGGAAATATCAAAGGGATCCCTTACAAAAAGAAGATTTCAGCTTGTCTTGCCAAGACTGAATGTTGCTGAAGTGGTTTATAACTGCATGCTCCCTAAAGAGCTTTGTCTTAATGGAGCTGACTGTCCATACTCCTTCTGGCTTTTTCTTCTACTTGAACATTAAAGCTTTTCTTGCTGTTGTTTTTAACCTGACAGCAACTTGATCACTCTCCCTGAGATCAAGTTGACTTTTTTTTTTCCCCCTCCTCACTCAAAATTTTCAGAAAGGAAATATCTCTTCTTGCTGTTTTCTGTGTTCCTGGTAACTGATGGCTGCTTTGTGACAGAGCAGCTAGGCTCTTTTATGACAAGCTGAGACGTCTCCCTGACTGGTACCTCCTTTCTCATTTCCACGACACGTAAATGTTCTGGTTGGGGAAGGTGGGTAATAACATCTTCCTCCCCTGCTGGCCTTTGTCTCCAATTAGCTATCACTCAGACATGTCTTTCACTGCAGTGCTGATCAAAGGATATGAGAAGGGATAAGTGACTGATGGTTTTTAGCATCTCAGCCCACCCAAGGGTGCGCGAGTGCTCTCCACTCCCTGGCAGAGGAATCCCTGGCATGTGAGAATGGAGGTGGTTCCCAGGGAAGAGATTTTGAAGAGGACACAGCTTGCTGCTTTGCTTCCCTCCTTTTAGGAGGGGATAGGAAATGGGTTCATGTTCCCACTCCCTAACAAAGGCAACTGAGCAGTGAAAATTGCCTCCTGGGACATGTCGGCAGCGAAACAGCAGAGGGTACTGCCGGGCCAGCTTGCTTTGGCAGAGCTGCAGGGGAAGGCTGTGCGCACCAGCCCGGCTCTCCCAGGCGCAGACTGTGATAACGGGGAGGCAAGGCGGCCGTGCATGGGCTGAGTTTTGCCAGTGGGTGAAGAGCTGCAGAGCTGTGTGCTGAGCCTGACAGATATTGATGTATGCAAATATCAAAGGAGGAAAATATGCTTTACTTCCTAAAACTGTGTGTCCTGCTATGTTGACGCAGCACGCCACATCCCAGAAAGTGAAGCAGTTTGTTGAATGTCAAGAGTTACGACCTTTTGTCTGGGAATTTACCGTGGCATGTGGAGCATCACAGCCAGCTGGGAAGAAGATGGAGATGTGCTTTGTGGGACTCCTTCAGCACCTGCCCTCTGTCCTGGGCTGGCCCAGAGGAAGCTGGTTGCCCCGCATTTGTGTGTCCTGTAGGAACTGGAGTGAAACCAGCATTACCTGGCAGCCATTGGGATGGCCTTATTGGAGCAAGCCAGCTGTTCATCTTGCCTAGGTTTCAGCAGCTGAGAGAGCAACCTCATGTCTGGAGGTAATCCCTTGGAGAAAGCACAGTACACCTGATTAGAGAAAGCTGTACTAATTTACTAGTGAGGGACACTTTTTCTCCTGACAGCCAGTCGCTGCTAATTTGGTGTTTTCGGCTTTCTTGTGCCCTTCTCTTCCCCACGCTTCAAGACAGAGCTAAAAGCGGTGACACGCAAGAAAAGGCACTGGATACTGCTCTACCTTGCAAGTGATCTTGCCGCTCCAGCAAGACATTAACGGAGCCTTAAGAAAAATAATGAATACCCTGGACGCAATGAGATGCTCTTGGGGGTTTCTGCAGCCCCTCGTTTTGCCCCCATGAAGAAGGCTTGATGGCAAGCCCCAAGATGGTCCTTTACAGCTTTGAACAGGAGAACATCCAGCCCCTTCATGGCTGGACCACCACAAAGATGGCCTCCCACCAGCTGGGCCATGACCAGGCGTGTGAGTTCGGGCTGTGGAGCTCTGGCAGGTGGGTGCAGGAGGTCGGGGCCTGCCCTGGTGTGGCCCCCCTGAGGAGAGCTGCCATTTTCTCCTTCCCAGCCCACCTGACAAGATGGCCTCCTGGGTGTGCGCAAAGCCAGGACCCTGCCCCTCCGCTGACCTGTGTCGTGTCAAAGTATATCAAAAAGTGTAATAAACATTAACAAATAGGATCAAGCTATCTCTCTTCTTGTGGTTGGTTTTTTTTTTTTCCCCCTCCCATGGCAATGCTGTAACTTTTCTGCCAGCTTCAGTCTCGCAGTTCCCCTCTTCAGAGCCCGGCGTGGGACTCCTCACGCTGCTACCCAAGCGTGGGGGATGACATCAGTGGACAGTGTTTCTCAGTAAAAAGGTGACCACAAAATGTCCAGAAATGCTTTTCGCTGAGCTGTAAGGTATAACCGCGGACAACCCTTCTCCCGAAGTCGGTATCGGAGCCAGCTGTAGAGAGGCAGATACATTTTCATTTGGGCAGTTGCCATCTGTCTAAATGCTTTATGGGTATTTCACTTTAGTATTAAATTCTCTCCAAGTTAATCAGTAAACGTGCTTTGCTGTATTTCTACTTAATACCCTCTGAAGCGGTGGGAGTGGTCTGGGTGCTTCTTCCCTCTGCCTCCTTACTGGGATATGTGTCAGCTGTGAGGAGCCCCAGGGGAGGGGGACAGCCCCTCTTGGGGGGCCGGTGGCATGGAGGGGCTCCCCCCTGTGCCCCCCAGGAAGGGGGGGACTGCCTCCTGTGAAGACATCGCTGGCACCGTTGTGCACCGGGCGGAGGGTTTATCAGCGATGGCCTGGGGCTTGCGGTGCCTCTGGAGAGCTTTCCCCCAGGAAGGAGGACAGCACCGGGGCGGAGAGCCGCTGTGGGGAACATGTTGTGGATGGGGCACAGCGGCGTGCGTGGGGCTCGGAGGGGGTCTTTGCCTCTTTGCTGGCTGTTGCACAGAGGGTTTCGTGCTCCAGGGAGGAGAGGACAGCCTCTGCATGGTAAAGGGCTTTTGGATGACCTTGTTCCCCTGCCCACCTTCGCCCTAACCTTCTCTTCCCTAAACAACAGAAGGTGAGCGCTTTTTCTCCTTTTCCTTGGTGAAGCATTGGGTGAGCTTAGTTTTCTTCTTTCTTTCTTTTTTTTTTTTTCTTTGTCCTTTTTCTGGATTGTAGTCTTCGATCACTTCTCTGCCTGACAGCAGCTCTGTGCTCCCTGCTTGGGCTGGAGGAGGGGAGATGGTGTAGGGAGAGGATGAAGGCAATATTTCGTGTCATTTGGAGGGAAGGGCTCTGCCCTGCTGATTTCTTGCTGGCCTGACGTGGATCCATCGCGATGGCACAGTATTACCAGTGGAGACAGCTAGGTGTTTATTTTAGCCATCTTATCCAGATCGAAAAAAACCTCAGCGTCTGGTCCACAGAAAATGAAAAGCAAAGGGTGGTATTTGGAGATACAGTGGACTTGAGAAGGATGAGAGAAGAGTAAAAGTGACAGAATCTTAATTTTATCTTTTTTTTCCAGTTCCTCATGTGAACTTGGGTAGCATTTCCGAGGAACAAGGGTGGGGGTTAGGGCATGTGTTGAGCAAACGTTAAACTGATATGGGGAGCGTAGGTGTTTTCTGGCTCTGGCAGCCTGGCTAACAAACTTGGTCCTTTAAAACTGCCTCTCTTACACCAGTCACATTTCAACCGTATACCCCCTACTCCATCTCATCCCTCCTGCTCTCTCTTCATCTTCCCCCAACCCTCTGGTGATGCAGGGTCTGAGAAAGCCTACGTTCATTTTGTTTCCATCAGTGAATAGGGACAAATCTGCCAAGCACTCTTGAGTTTCTGCTACTCTGGATTTCCCATCTTTTTACCCTGTTCACCAGTACCTTTCTTGTCTTTGTGAGTTTATAAGACTTGAAGGTGGCAGGGGGTGGGGGGAGTAGTTCCTAGATTCAAGTCTCAAAAGATGCATGCGGAATTTGGACCAGTTTTCTGCCATCCCCAACCTGTCTTTCTACTAGCAGTAAACTTTTTGCACCTCAGTAACTATTGAATGTGACTTTCCTTTTCATGGCTTTTCCACAGGATGAAGATGAGACGCCATAAGCTCTTTCTGACTCTCTGCATGGCTGGTCTCTGCCTCATCTCCTTCTTGCACTTCCTCAAGGCCCTTTCCTATGTCACCTTCCCCCGGGAGCTGGCTTCGCTTAGTCCCAACCTCGTCTCCAGCTTCTTCTGGAACAATGCCCCCGTCACACCTCAGGTCAGCCCTGAGCCAGGGGGTGCAGAGTTCCTCCGCACACCCCTGTACTCCCACTCCCCCTTGCTCCAGCCCCTGCCTCCCAGCAGAGCCAGCGAAGAGCTGCACAAAGTCGAGTTTGTGCTGCCGGAAGACACAACAGAATATTTTGTCCGTACCAAAGCCGGCGGCGTTTGCTTTAAACCAGGCACCAAGGTGTTGGAGAAGCCACCTGTGGGAGGGCGGCCAGAGGAACGAGCAGATGGCGCAGCCTCGGGGCGGTCGGCTCGCAAGCCGCTGAGTGCCGGTGGGACAAAGCGGCGCAAGTGGGTGGAGTGCGTGTGCTTGCCGGGCTGGCACGGCCCCAGCTGCGGGGTCCCCACTGTGGTCCAGTACTCCAACCTGCCCACCAAGGACCGCCTCGTGCCACGGGAGATCCCTCGGCGAGTCATCAACGCTATCAACGTCAACCATGAGTTTGACCTGCTGGACGTCCGCTTCCACGAGCTGGGAGACGTGGTGGACGCCTTCGTGGTGTGCGAGTCGAACTTCACGGCCTATGGAGAGCCACGGCCCCTCAAGTTCCGCGAGATGCTCCTCAACGGCTCCTTCGACTACATCCGCCACAAGGTGCTCTATGTCTTCCTGGACCACTTCCCCCCCGGTGGCCGCCAGGATGGCTGGATTGCTGATGATTACCTGCGCACCTTTCTCACCCGGGATGGCATCTCTCGCCTCCGCAACCTGCGCCCAGACGACGTCTTCATCATCGACGATGCCGATGAGATCCCGGCCCGCGATGGCGTGCTCTTCCTCAAGCTCTATGACGGCTGGACGGAGCCCTTCGCCTTTCACATGCGCAAGTCGCTCTACGGATTCTTCTGGAAGCAACCAGGCACCTTGGAGGTGGTCTCGGGCTGCACCATGGGGATGCTCCAGGCCGTCTATGCTACTGACGGGATCCGTCTGCGGCGCCGCGAGTACTACACCATGCCTGGCTTTCGGCAGTATGAGAACAGCACGGGACACATCCTGGTGCAGTGGTCGCTGGGCAGCCCCCTCCACTTTGCTGGCTGGCACTGCTCCTGGTGTTTCACCCCAGAGGGGATCTACTTCAAACTGGTGTCGGCCCAGAACGGGGATTTTCCCCGCTGGGGTGACTACGAGGATAAACGAGACCTCAATTATATCCGGGAGCTGATCCGGACTGGTGGCTGGTTCGATGGTACTACACAGGAGTATCCCCCCGCTGACCCCAAGGAGCAGATGTACGCTCCCAAGTACCTGCTCAAGAACTACCAGCGGTTCCGCTACTTGTTGGAGAACCCCTACCGAAAAGTGGAGAGCGCTGGGTGAGGCCACTGGGGCTCGCGTTGGGAATTCAGAACTTCACAACAAAGGGAAAGAGTCGGGTGGTTTTGTCTGTTCCTTTCTTTTTTTTTTGCTTTCTTTGGTTCCAGGTGGGGTGTGCCATTTCTCCAAGGTCTCTGCCCTCTCTCCCTTCCTTCTCTTCTTCCCTTCATCCCAGGGTGACCCTGGGGACATGAATTCCTCAGTCATGTGTGTGAAGGGCAGGAGGAGGAGAGATGTTGGGACCGGCTCTGGCAGTAGCATAAAGACTTTCCCCGCATCTCCCTGACCTCTCCTGCTGGCTGGAGAGAATCCCTGCAGCCAGCTGGCAGATTTTCCTCCAGGGGGAAGCTGGGAAGGTCCCGTGGGGAGAGAGGGCAGCTGTTCCTGTCCACCCTCGTCCTTTGTGGATTGGAGCAAGCACAGATGCGAGCCTGGGCTATTCAGTGAGCGTGTGAGTCAGCAGGCACGAACCGATGCGAGTGGTCACGTGTGCAGATGTGTGTCACAGGCATTTTTTGGATGAGTGAATGTGCAAAAGCATCTCAGTATGCGTTTATTTTTTTGTATACCTCTATATTCAAAGAGTATTTTGGGGAAGGGAAATCCTTTGCTTCCAAAGTGTTCTCCCCAAGATGCAGCCTCCTCCTGCAGGCTTAATGCATCGGTCCTGGGCTGTGTCTTGGCCTGATGCTCTACCAGTCCTGGAGCAGGCAGAGGAGAAAGCTGATTTTTTATTTTATTTTTTTTAACTCTTTTTTCACCCCTGCCCCCACAACACTGCACTGGCTTGGCCCACAGAAACTGAAGCATCTTCCCTGCAGTATGTGCTTCTGTTGGGGCTGGGATAAGCTGCAGGGGACTTAATCAGATGGTGGGAGTGTATGTTTACAAGTGCATGGTTTCCTATGTGCATGAGTGCTAACATGCATGGTTTTGGTATGCACGTGGGCGTTCGTTACCAGTATTGGGGGGGAAGGGGACATAGTTGGGTTTGGGTGTGTGTGCTTTCAGGAAATGGTGGGATCCAGAAGCTGTGATCTCTGTCTCAGCATGGATGACTTTTCAGGGAATTCATAGGAGAGGGCCAAGGAGAGCGTTGGGTCTGCATAGCAGTGCTACACACGTGGGACTGTTGTGTGCCTTTCTGGCTGCCTCTGCAACCCTGTGGGCTGTGCCGGCTATTCCTTCTTGCCGTGGGGTAAGAGGGAGAGGAGAAGGGCAAAGCTCTGAGTCAGTAATGGGTTCTGTGGGGAAACACAAAGCTTGTCAAGGCACAGGATCCATCTGTCTGCTCTTTGGGCATGAGGGAGCTCGTGGAGAAACAGGTCATGGGCAGACTCCCCCTGGGGCCAAGAGACTGTTTTGGGACCATTATGCAATCCGGAGAGCGTGTGCAGCCCACACATGCAGCCTGGGCCATTCAGACAAGACCGTGCAGAGGAGAGGGGATCTAGGAGGACACTAGTTGCAGCTGGTTGGGCCAGTGTCTGCTCAGAGTTTGCCAGTGATGCGTAGTCAGGATCTGGCCTGTCATTGGATTGGATTGATTCAGCTCATTGAGGAGGCAGATCCATGTCTCCACCCGTACCACCCTTCCTTAGCAGATGGCTTGACCGGGTGCCTGGTGCCTGGAACCTGGGCTGTAGCGGGCAGAGGGTGAAAAACATGATGAACTTGCTCTGTTAGCCTTGCAGTGGAAAGGCTGCCTCATGTTCCAGGCAGAGAAGTGAGGATCATGTGGAGGAGGAGGAGAATGTTGGCATAAGGAAGAGTGACCCTGACATCAGGCCAGCTGTGCTGAAGCAGGAGGGTTTCCATTGCTGTTAACTCGCTCCATCAGGGCTCCATATTCCTGTGTTGTCCAGCCCATTCCCACCCTTGTACCTTATTCCTATGTCTGTATCTCTCTCATTTCCCCTCCTATTTCCCTCTCTAGAGAAGTGAAAAACATCAACAAAAATAACTTGATTGCCTAATAAGACTGAGACTGGAACAGAATGAAGATGAACATCTTTTTCTGATCAAACTGAGATGGAGTTCATCTTAGCTCCTTCCACATCTCATGTGCCATAATGCCTGCTTAGAAGAACTGAAAGACCCTCTTATTTTGGTTGGTTTTGTTTGTTTTTTAAATCACTGTTCTCACTGCTGCTGTCTTCCCCACACGTAGAAAAGCCCCCTTGGGAACTGAGTGGAGGGAGAAGCTTTGCTAGGCAGACTTGATGCAGCAGGAGGGAGTCTTGTGTAGAGAGATTACAGAGAAATGGGGACCCAGCTGAGAAAGGAGGACCCTGTGCTGAGGAAGATGAGAGCAGTAGCACTGAGGCTGCAGCACAAGGGGAACATGCTTTCCCCAGGGGCAGCCAGAGGAGAGCAGGTGTGTTAGCTCGTGGGATTCAGTAGCAGAAAAGCATGGAAGGAAGAAATGATTTCTCATTTTCACTCTTGGAAGGGAGCCTGAGATCTACTCTCAGTCCTTTGGCTTTGCGTTATCTCAGTGACAACACCACAAGCCCAGTGCCAGGTCTTGCTGAAGACAGGAGAGAAAGACAAGTCAGTCTTTGCATGGGTGCTTTGGCAGCACCGGAGCCCCGTGAAGAAGGGGCTAAAGTGCACGTGTGCTGGGGCTGCACCTCATCTTCTACAGTGGGAGCAGCCTCTCCTCTGATACCAGCCCTTCCCGTGCATGGGCGTCCTTGGGGATTTTTAGTGCACTGCAAGTCACGTTTTCATCGCTGAGATATGGCCCTTGTCTCTTGGGAGTTTCAGATGATCCCACAGCTGCAGTATCTGGATCTCCTGTTCCTGAAGTACAGCCTGTTGCCTTCTCTCCCCTCTTCTCCGTTATTTGCTCCATCGTTCTCCACCTCTCCCTCTGAATTGCCTTTCCCTTCTGCCCCCTTAGGCAGGAGGAGAAGGTCCTGCTGGAATAGCAGCGCTGGGGCTTTTCTGCAGGACTCTGGCCCTGTCCTCCTGGACTTACTCATTTCCTTATTCTTCGGAAATTAAATTTAAAACAGACTTCTGTTGTGGTGGGAGGAAGGGGCTTTACAGATGAAATGCATTCTTTTTTGTTTCTCAAGAATCATTTAAACATTTTTTGATTTAAGGCCAAACCAGTCACTGTTTGAATCTAATTTGTCTGGCTAACCCTGTGTTTATTATCCTTAGGGAGCTAGAGTTCTTGTCATTAAAAATCTTCCTTCTTGTCCCTGGAGGAGATAGGGACTAGCAAGCTGACTTTTGCACAGTGATTTCCCAAGGAGGTGGCTTGCCCTCTGTCCAGCCTTGCCTGTACTGCTGTGCCAGGACCTCCACAGCCAGCGCAGAGCGGGGACAGCCAAACCTCCCAGCCAACCTCCGCTAAGAGGGAACCCAAAAGCATCTGGGTGCGGGGGGTGGTGAGAGAGGCAAAGGAGGAGGCAAGTGTGTATGAGATTCTCATTTCCCAATGCTGAACTCTTGAAGTGAGCTTTGAGGCTCTTTGATCTTGTCTGAACCAGAGGTTTGGGGAGGACTAAAAAAACCTGTCCTGCCCCTGGGTTGGAACTGGGATCAGACCACCAGAGCCTGATGTCTGTTGGTTGTTGCAGCTGTGAGCAGCGAAGCCGTGTGCTTGCTGCCTCTCTGGGAGCGAAGCTGTCTGGTGGAGGGAGGGAAAGCATTGCCAGCCTTTCTCTGCAGCCTTCTTCAGCTCTGTGCTTTTTCTTCCCCAAAACTTTCCACCTTCAAATTAACAGGTGCAAAGGAGGGCCAGGTAGTAGGTGAAGCAGTGTGTGGCATCCCCAAGCCTTGCTCTTCTCTTTCTGTATGCCTGTGTCTGTTCTTGCCTTTCTTTGTGCTTCCCACCTAAAAAAGGGATTGTGTGCCCATGCATGGCTTTGGACTGGGGAACTCATCTTCCTCCTCCACCCCAAGTGAAGGGAAGGATGTGGGCTTTGGTGGACCTGCAGCAAGTGAGCTTGCTAAAGCAGAGGGAACAGGGCAGGTCGGCCGTCTTTGCCCCTCCGGAGGACTGGGGGTAATGCTGTACTCAAGTGAGGGACAGAAGAGATGGGGTGCCTGTGTGGTTGGTAAGAAGGACAACACGCTCAAGTCCACTCTCGCTGTTGCTTTCTCTGATCCCTGTGTCCTGCTGAGGTGTTTGCTGTCGTGGAGCTGAGGCCAGCCTGTTCTTCGTGTCTCTGTGGCAGGTAAACGAGGGGACCTTGTGGCCTCCAGAAAGCGTACAAATTGGGAAGGAGGGACAGTGTCAGAGCAGAACGGGTATTTGTTCCCCTCTGCCCCCTTGGTATATCCCTGTGGGATGGTAGTGGCTTTTCCTTTCCCAAACCATCCCCCAGGCTCTGTCCCTGTCTCCAAGCTCTTGCCAGGAATGTCTGTGGCTGCTATGCCTCTGCACTGTGAAGACACACGTCCGGGGTCACTCCTGGTCCAATTAGTGAAAACTGGTGGTAAAGAGGGAAGGGATGGCTCATCCTGGCTTCACTGCCCTCAAACCTTGGCAAGAAAGGAGGGAAGTGAGTGGGAGAATGGATCCTGAATCCCTTCATTGTTGTGTTCTCCCTACCCCCCAAAAAAACCTCCCTTCTGTTTTCTGAGACATTGGACAAACTCGCTCTTACTATGGAAAGAGAGGAGGAGCTGGAGGTAAGGGGGGTGGCGGGAGGGGCTTGGATCCAGCATGAAGAAAGGAGAGCTGTTTCTAATGCAATACACTGACATTTAAAGCTTTGAGGACTACAGATAATGGCTTAAGAAGGGATCTGAAATACTCTGAGACTAAGAATTCAAACCACTGTTTTTTTCCTTCCTGTGCGGATGATGATGCAGTATCATCCTGGAGGTGATCCAGCAGCACTTATGAGCCTGGGGTCCACCTGGACCTACTGGTGGTGTTGCCCCTGGGGTAGCCCCAGAACACCCTGCTTCGGCAAAAGAATGCGTAGACTTGCCTAAAATAAAAAGAAAAAATAAAGAGTGTCTGCAAAGCTCCTTTCCACTCTGTAATTTATAAACAGCAAGTAATAATGAACTTTTGTAAGGTTAAATCAAATGTACATTCTGAAATCATTTTCTCTGTAAATGGTTGGATTTCATTTCACCCTTAAAGGGATGCTTAAAAGGAGGAGATAATAATAAAAATAAAAAAATTTACAAAGTATGAAAGGAAACCAAGGTGTGTGTGTGTCAGCTTTTATTTCGGATCACCTGGCAGAGGGGCTGCTGGAAAATTGAGTGAGGGAAGTTGCTTCCCACCTTGGCAGGACCGTGTTCCTGAGAAGGGAGATTGGGGGGAAGCCTGACTGGTTTGGGGAATGATTCCTGATTTTGTGGGCCCAGATCAGACCTAATCTGCACATTAGGTGAGTATGAGCATGTAAAGGCACAAGTGGGGAATGATGGCTGCCAGTGGCTCTCAGAGGACCTGATGGATGTGGGAACCAGCATCACTGCTCATGAAGTTGTCCCTTGTCACCATCTTCCCTCCCTTGGATGAATCCACTTTTTCAAGTAAAGCCGTGGAAACCCTGGAGCCCCAAATTAAACCTCCCCACTACAGAAATGTCTCTCTGGTGGCTCACTTTCGGCACGGTGCATGAGAGAACGTGACCTCCTTGTTTTAGCTTATTTTTAAACCTGTCTAATGTAATTTTGGCTGTTCCCATTACTCAGTATCAAAGCCCGGTCCTGCTCTGAATCCTCCTAAGCATCTGGTTTCAGCAATGCCTTTGGCAAGGGCCTTTCACAAGCTCTTGTGCCATCTACAGCTATTTTACTTTTTACCTTTTTAAGTGTCCTGGGCTTCAGGTTCATTCCTGGTCCCGCTTAGAGATAGTGACTGTAAACATCACAAGTTAGTTTCCTTATAATCATTAGATCCAGCACATACCCTCTTCTTTCTCCCTTCTACATCCATCTAATGTTTTCAGTTCTCCTCTTGTGGAAGGGTCTCCATCAAACTGGAGACTTGCGTTGTGCATTGTTTAATGCCTTCCTGCTGCCTCTGTCTCTGGTACAAAGGGCCTGGAATAAACATGCCACTCAAAATTAACAATTAAAATTTTCTATTAAGAATTTTTAGCATTCTTAGTGATCGCTGTATTTTTGTGCCCGAATAGGGGATAATCTAAAAATAGATGATCACCAGAATGCCTGAACTTTCAGTTTTTCAAGAGGGGAAGATAAGTAGATAAGCTTAGGCCAATGGCAATTTAGCGAGACAGTTTAAGAAATGAGAGTTGACTAGGTCAAAGGTTCTCCCATGTTATTTTTCTTGCCTCCAACACGAAATCTTTTACTGACATTTATATTATTTTAAGAAGTAATGTAAACAGCACTTCTTCAGTTTCTTGAGAGGTATTAAAAGAAGGCATTGATGGAACATAGGACCTTTTTCCCCGGAAAGCACAAGCTTCTGCTGCAGGAGCTCGAAGTGTCTCTGTGAGCGAGGGGTTGATTCTACCGCAAACCAGTCTGCGGTGGAGACCCTCATTTTCAGGAGTAGCACTGACAGTCAGCCGAGCACGGGGGGCATGCAACTCCCCCACGAACCCTATATACCAACTCTCAGAGGGTCCCTCGAGGCATCAAAAGGGATCTTGATGCGTGCAGCGTGCATCCTGGATATGGATATGGAGTCTTAAGCGCTGTATTGAACCAGGAGCGTGCAAACCATCTGGCACCAAGTAAATCCTGTGTGTTTTGCAGAATTTCGGCACCCCAACAGGTGTTATGTGGGGAGATGCGCTATGGAGGGGCTGTGGCATGACCTGCCTGGAAATTAGCTGTTTCTTCCAAGTTCTCACTGTATGTCAGGGATGTCCAGTGCTCATCATGGGTGCCGTGCAACACTGCTTGGTGGGGACCAAGGCTGTGGCAGACCCTCCGTCTCTGGCTTGCGGAGGGGCTGGCTCTGGTTGATTCCTAATCGATGCCTGCAGCAGGGAGCTTGGAAAAAAAGTGACTTCAATATAAACTTACAGCATCTTTTAGAAAGCTGGAAAGGGGATATCAAGAGCCTGGCTTGCTGGCTGTTTGTTTTTGTTGCTCAGATACATTTGTTCCCTGTGTAAGGGCACAGCTTAATATGCTCTCTAGCAGGGACGGTTAATTTTTAATTATGAGTCCAACTTTATATTATTTTTTCGAAATCCCACTGCTTTAGCGGCTCAGCTGGGGAAGCAGTGAGGTCTCAGCTGGCCGGCAAGCAGCCCGTGGAGCAGCCAGGGAGAGAGTCACCAGCAAATGGCTTCATGCTCACGTGCCCCCCAGCTGCAGGCGCCGGCTGCCCTGCTTTCCAGAGCATTGCGACGGAAAGGATTTGGCTGCAGCCATGGCAGAAGGGAGGCATATTCTTGCTCCTGGCAGTGGCATGTGTTTCTGTGGCTCACAGGCACGCTCGTACCCCAGCCATGTCAAACCTTCACCTGGGAGTAGGCTTTGCAGGGCTTTGCTCTGTTGCTGCAAAACAGCCTCAGAGGAGCCGTGCAAAACCGTCCCAACCGGAGAAAGGGTTCTGGGTCACTGAAGTGAGAGGCTGACATAAGGGATATAACCCACGGACGCTTGGGAGAGGAGCCTGGCTTGGGGCCAGGCTGCTGCAGGCTTTGCCTTTGTAGCTGCTGCAGGGACAAGCACGTCAGCAAAAGGGTAAAGGATGTAAAGGATCAGCCCACTTCAGCTAATGTTTGGGACATTACTGTAAGCATCTCTGAGAACCCCAAACACAAACCCTTACTTTGAATTAAGGAAAATTTGGCAATCCTGACATTTCCAGCGTTTCTGGGTGTGCATTTTTTTTTTTTAAGCAAAGTGAGAAGAGAAAATAGTCCTTACCATCTTTTGAAATACATTATAGCTATGTAAGAACACAAACCTTTCAAGGCCATATCTCTCCTCACCTGCCAAACGAAATACAAAATAAAACTCCATTGTTTTACTCTTATGTTTCCTGTGCCTTACAGCTTGAACCATGGATCGTCTTGGCTGAAGTCCATCCCAGTAACGATTTAATTTGGGAACCACACTTCACCTTTCTAAAAATAAGGAAAACTGAGAAGAAGAGCAAGCAAGCTGTACTGAATAAGATCTAAAATGTCTTCTCCAGGATCTCAAATTACAGAAAATATGTTACCCAGAGAATGTATAAAATCAAATATTGTAAGCCTGCCTCTATGCAGCAAACTCTTTCCTGGCATTTTAGCCCTGTTCTACAGTGTGGACCTTTTCCAAAGACAGAGCAACAAATTTTCAGTCATATCTTTTTTTCTTTTTTTCCCCCCTCAGACACTTACTAAGAACCAGGCATACATGCAAAAATAAAAGAATGTAGAAAACATCTACCCACTTGTGTTTTGTTCCCAGTGTTTTCAAAGCATTTGACTCAAACTGCTACCCAGAAGTGAATGTTGAACTACTGCAAAACCAAACCCAGACATATTTCCCCAAGTGGGACAGAAATAAATCTATCTAAGGACCTGTGACTTAATAGGACAAGATGTGCAATAGGTGCCTTTAACTAGAAAAAGAAGAGAAGCAGCAGGATATAGCAGCTCTGCCCTTCTCGGGTTGTATATATGTACACAGGACCGAACCCCACACAATGCTGGCAGTCCAGACGCCCCTTCCACAAACCGAAATCCCATGTTCGTGCTGGGAGGACCTCACCGCAGCACGCAGCAAGCAGAGGAGTACAAAAAGCCTGGGGTCAGTGTGTGCAGCCCTGCTCGGGGGGACTGGTGCCATCAGCTGCAAGCTCTCAGCTCTCCGCAGACACTTCTACTGCAGAAAGCCCACGAGGCTGTCAGAGTGATGCGAAATTGCAAGGATAACAGCACTCACAAAAGCAGGGTCTCTGAATGGCTCTGGAAACCTTCTGCAGCATGCAGCTGGTGCAAAGTGACAAATCGGGGGGGGGGGGGGGGGGGGCTTCTCACACCAGGGAATAAAAAAGAAAAAAGTCCCCAAGAAACCCAGCCACAGGGAAATTTGCCTGAAGAAACACGAGCCATGCTGGGAATGAAGGTGCGCGTGGACCAATTGCAAAATACTACAGCAGCATTTTCAATTTGTTAGGTAATAAACCGAAGCTTCCTCAGTGACCATTGGTGCAGGACCTTGCAGCGGCGGCAGCTCTGCATCCCACGGGAGACCACTTGCCACTGCCAGTGTTTGCGGCCCCCCGGGCTGCAGGGCTGGAGGTTGGGGAGCTGAAAAGCCCCACTTCAGCAGCAGCGGGGCTGGGAACCTTTCCTTTCCTTCCCCCTGGCAAAAACATACCCTGAGTGTGGCTCCCCAGAGCGGCTAGTTACTCTCTGTTTCTAAAATCCGGGTCTCGGCTGTAAATCAGGAATGGCCCTTGAAAGGCAGCTGCTTACCAGCGGTCTCTCCTCCCTCGGCACCCATCATCTTTCCCACGTGCGCTCAACATCAAAGCTGCTGGGGGTTCAGGGAAAGAAGCCACCTGCGCTACCCTTGGCCCTCTGCCCCTCATGGCTCATCACAGCCAGAAAGCAGGAGCCCAAATGCCATTAATCCTTGCAATTGTTCAAGAAAAGTAAAGAAATAGGGCTGCAATGAAAGAGAGAGCTGTTGAACGGAGTTAGACTGCCAAAAGGCCTCTTGCAAGGTCCATTTACTAAAAGATATTAAGGATATTAAGCCCAGGCTCTGATGGCATTGGTGGGTCACTGCCCATCTTCCCTCTCGCGTTTTGGCATTGTTTTCTGGCTCCTGTAAGAGGCCAGCCTTCTGTTTCCAAGCGCAGGTTTTTTCCCTGACCCTGCAGATCCACTCCAAGATGCCATTTGCAGCTCTACGGGTCACGTTCACCTCCCTGCTGACCAGGGAGGGTTTGCTGGCTGGTGGCGGGTGGCACAGGGATGTCTCCCTGGCTGGGAATGGTCCTGCCCTTGCAAAATGGGCGATGGGAAGCCCTGGGGATGGCACTTGACTGCCAGGAGCAGAGGCTGCAAGCCGGGCTCAGGGGCAGCAGTGTGCTGCTTTTGGTGGCTATCAGAGCCCACGGCAGTGGCTACTTGAGTGGGACGACCGGCTGCAAGCATAAGAAGAGCGGCAGAGGAGTGGTGGCTCCAGAGACTCACAGGGAACAGGGGGGATTCTGTGCCTTATCCCGGGTAGCAGCATGGGTTATTGTGCCCCATCACCCATG